TCAGATTAGTCCATAGAAAATCTACAGGGGGCAATTCAAAAATGATCATGTCAGGACAAGAAACCTAGGGGTAAGTGGTCGTTTGTTTTGAATTACCTAGGGCTCCTAGGTTCTGCAACAAGTGCCTCTTCTGCTTGATTTCAGTATATTGAATAGCATAATTACACCCACATTTCTTGGAATCCCAAGGTTGAAAACATGCATTATTAACACAGGTGCCCACTCTTATTGGTTCTTAGAGGAAAGCTTGTGTAATAAATTTAACCGCATCGGCCATTCAGAGTTTGCTAGTCCTGCTTCCAATCCCTCTGATTAAAAACAGCTCTGATCTACCGTTTTCCAGAAGAATAAAGCCTGACCTGACAAATGCCTACTCCCCCCACTCCCAAATATTACTTTTTAATTGATTTAAATTTGAAGAATTTATTTATCCAAACACTCATTTATCACCATCTTAACTGCTAAGAAACAAACTTTGCTTATTAAAAACAATTTTCTTAATTAAGAATCATTTAAGCCAATCTTATATTCAGTCATCTATCCAAATTCTAACCCTTGCTCTTATTTATCATTCATTAAGGTAGATACATCAATTATAAATGTAACAAACACTTTTCATTTGAAAACAGAGTTCATAGTTTGAAGTTTGTTCGTTATTTTTTTTTAACATCGACTCGTATATGCGATCAGGTACTATTAGTTTGTCAATGCATAACAGCTTAATGAGCGCAGCTGTGCAATCTGCTCCCATTAAATAGTGGGCACATCTACATGCGATGTTTACTGTGGAGTAGACTAATTAGCTGCACAGTCTACATGTGCACCCCTATTAGGCTGAAGTGAAGTAATTTACTCCGCAGCAGGAAAGTACTTGAAAAAACCTCTGCAGCGCTGCACATGTAGATGCTTCCCCAGCTGCCTGGGGCATGAAGATGCTTCAATGCAGGGGCTGCCTGACAGCTAGCCCTTCACTAAAGCATCTTTGTGCGCCGGCCAGCCCCTCCACAACACAATGAGCAGGGGGGAGCAGCTCTGGGCTTGCAAGGTGACCCCCAGACCCTCTGCCAGGGCTGCTCCACCCCAGCTCAACAAGCTGCAATCCAGGGCACAGGTGCAGACATGCAATTAGCTCCAGAGTTTATTCAAGCACATTGAACAAACCTAGTTTTATATCAAAAAACTTTTAAACAGCTTGGAGTTGATCTTACCCTCTAGGTAGCCAGAAGCTAGGATCAAGCCCCATTCTGGCTGACTTTCATAAACTGGATTATAGCACCAGCAGTTTTGAGGTGCTTAGCTATGAATGATTATGCTTCAAAAGCTTAGCCTGATAGATAGTGCAAGTCCGCGATTTGTAAGATTGGAGCTGCTCTGAAATGCAAGGTTCCCAGAGAAGCAGGATCAAAACAATATTTATGAAGCAATCACCTTGACATACTGAAAACTGGAGTTATTAGATTGGTCTTGAGGAAACTGTTCATTACCCATCTACAGTGAAAGTGCATCGTCCGTCATTGAAAAACACAAGCCGGTCATAAGCAAACTGATAATATATTGTAAACTACACTGGGAATAGTTTGCTTTCGCTCAGTTAAATTTCTCATTACAAACCACTTTTCTGTATGCAGTGAACCCAACGTACAGTTGGCATCTTATCCCTTTTATCTTTGGAGTTGAAGCACCTTAATTCTTCGCATTAGTTAGTCCATTACATTATAGACCCTTACATTAAAGTTCCAGTTCAGCTTTAACATGCAACTTTATGTTTAAGAGATTTGCTATTTAAACCTGACAACCTCCCCCAGCATACATACACACAAAGGAAATGTAATGATGTTATGAAAGACCTACTGCCGTTCTTTTGGGTTACAGCCTGTAACTTTCTAGGCCAGGGATTGGCACCCTACGGGCCGCTGGGCAGATCTAGTCTGCAAAGAGGACCTGGCCTATGGTGGCACGTGGTGGGGAGGTCCCAGAAGCAAAGGCACCTTTGTTGTCCTGCACCATATATTTCTCTATGCTGTGCTGCCAGTCCTCTTTGTGGTGTCCAGAAGGCAGCTTCCCCAGTCTTTCCTGCTCAGTATTGAGGACTGCTCTCTTGTCCTGATACTGCAGGCTCCACTTACCCTTGCTACCAAATTTGCTGCTCCCCATCACTGTTGACAATGGAAACTGATTCAGTGGCAGAGGTAAGCAATGGCTGCAATAGGGAGGCACGAGAGCGAGAGAGCAGCCCTTGGCACAGGTCAGGGGTGTTGCAGAGTCGATGGGGGTGTGAAGGTTGCAAACGACAGGCCGCCGTTTGTAGAGCTTGCCATCAGGGGCCCAAACAAACAGCCTAGCCTGGGATAACTGCCTAGTTGGCTACATCTGCCCAGGGCTCTCAGTGGCAGCCTTACCCGAGCGAATGATCCAGCTGGCCACTGTTTGGGCCTCCTGCTGAGGAGGGCAGCCTTCCCATTTAGTTTGACCTGTGGCAGCAAGCTCCAGGCCAGCCAACAATTCTTCTGAATGTCTGCTGTGGTAAGCCTCTCTGATCCTCTGTCTCTGACCTTGCTCAGCTCTGTTCCTGGATTCTGGCAGTTTGGAAAGTCCCCTTGGATCTGGTAACTTGGTCCCTGACTTTTGGCTCTGACTGTTGGCATATCTAGACTTCAGCCACAACTCCAGCTCTGATTCCTGGTGTGCCCTGACTTCAGCTCGGACCCCCTTACTCACCCTGACCTCAGCACTGGCTTCTGACTCCTGAACTTTGATTTGACCTGTGACTTGAACTCTGCCCTGTATTTTCCTTTGGATCTGGTAACCCGGCCCATGATTCTTGCCTTCCCCCAGCGGCCTAACCAGTAGCCCAGACTGCTTACAATCCAGTCTTTACACTTTCTGACCTCTGATCTAGGCACAAGGCCTTTCAGCTTTCAGGTGTAAATGATAGACATACCCGCAGCACCTTTCTTTAGGCAGGTAAAGTTCACATTTTCTTATGCAGTCAGCTGGCTAAAGATGATGAGCTACTCTGTTATCCACTATCTTTTTCCTTATAGGGACCCCATCTTGCACCCCACAGTCAAAGGCAGAATTTTCATTGACTTCAAGTGACGCATATTCAAACCCACAAAAAAATTATTTAGCTCTTCTCACTCATGAAGGTGAGAGTAACAGGAGCTGAATTGTGTGAAGCTTCAGTAGCTGATTTGATTTGGAGGAGATTCCGCCTGATTCGGTGACTGAAGCTCCAAATCCAAATCTAATCAGGAGACCAAGTGAGAGCTCTGAATCAATTCAAAGCATCCAAATCGATTTGGAAAAGATTCGGCCATAGACTAAACAGGAGCTGACACAGCTGCCTCCAGCTGGTAAGTCCGCTGGGGTTGGGGGAGGGGGCAGGGAAGGGGCATAGGGAGGGAGAGATTGGGGCTGGGACAAGCTGCCCACCTGGGGCAGAGGGCATGTTACTCGGGGGCGGGGGGGGTTGGGGGTGGGATGCAGGT